CGATAAAATAGTTCGATAAAATAGTTCGATAAAATAGCACGACATTTTTATTGTCAATTAATTGACTTTTATTTCTGATAATGTTTAAATTATAGTTGCTGTTGAAATTATAGTGATACGATTTGTGGAACGCATTTCCGCCACGTTAAATTCGTAAATCTACGAATTCGATTTTTCTTTTATTGAATCAGTATATTTTAATATGACACGGCTGATTTTAAATTTCGATTGAAAATTCTGCATCTTTTCTTCATTTGATTTATATTGTTTCACCATTATCTACAAATTTTGTTTCATTTGGTTTATTATTAAAACCACATATAGTACCAAATTGATTATATTATTTCTAATTATTATTTCAATTATAAAATCTTGTTAAAGACTGGTAATTTGACTGGTCATTTGACTGGTCATTTAACTGGTTATGGTATAAATCGATATGCATAAACAAATAAATGTACAACGTTAGAAAAATTCCCTTGAAGTTTCATATTGGAATGCTTCATATTGCTGGATCGAAAAACTCTGATACTCTTATGAAAATACTTAGGACGGCTATTAACACGCAAGTTGTGAATTATCGCGAATGATCTTACGTCGTTTTTCTATCAGGTGATATAATACAATAGGTATTTTTTATTTCAGCTACTAAAGTTCTATACCTGAATGTTCCTATTTGTCTCTATCATGGACTGACTTCGCAAGGAGGTAACGCCTTTTTGAAGAAGAACTATGCCAACTGAGATCCAAGCTGTGAACTGTAGAACGATCACTAGCTTCGAGGCCCAATTGTCCGATCTCGAGTATAATGGCATTCTGATGTTTTCAAGAACCAAATAGTACGCAGTTTTGCACTCTTGATTTCACTATATATGAGACAGAAATATGTATCCTTTAAAACAACTTGTTTCTCAATCTATTAGCAACAGCTCGATCAATATTGAGGTCTCGAAAAATGTTACCTTATACTAAATTAAGGATAATGATTAATTTTAGATTTGCTTGAAATTTGATGCTGCATGAACATTTGGACCGCGGTATCACTCAAATTATACAGCCGAAAAAGATTGAGAAATGCGTTGGTTTGAAAAATTTCAATATACCTGAAAAATGTTAAGCCAGCCCACAAGAATATCGAAAAAATCATGCAAATATTATTCATATATACGTATGTACCAAATGCGAAATAATTTTTGCGAAATAAGCGTTTGTGCCTTAGATCTAACGTAAGATTATTACAATTAGTCAATTTAATTAAAGGACGTGATAAAAGAATTGTGGTTAATACTACAATAAGATAATATTCATTTATGTTTTATTTAAGAATTACCAAGGATAATACTTGTTAGAAAGACGTACAACAAATTAATGGCTTTTTAAATTCTAATCAAATCAAGGACATAACATTCCGTTCCGCTATCGAAATGGCGATAGTTACTTACATCGATCAACAACGATTTCAATCAATGTTGAGCGTCGAATACTGTCGTGTAGTCAATTCCAAATACCGATTAAATCAAATGAAAGCAATTTATATTGTTCGGGAAATATTATAAAAACCCTGTCTACATAAGTAAATGCGTTTATGTATTACATATATATTATAATGAATATACCGAATACGCAACTCTTTGACCGTTTAATGAACGTGTAATAAATGAAGAAAAAATATCGCGAGGTTTGCATAAAACAAATGATCAATGTGTCTTTTGTGTGTGTGTTTTTTTTTTAACAATGATAGATTAAACACTGATTATTTACACTGCATGGTCTAGTCAATAGTAGAACCGTCACCAATATTATCAACATATTAATGAAAATATTGACGTCGAGAGAGAGACATCGTCCTGTTAACGATGTTCCGCTACCGTTACTTTCTCTTATCGTTAGAGCTCAACGTCGTCAACGTGGTAGAAACGTGCACAATAGTGAATAAATAAATCTTTGGACGATCATACGTCACATATTATCTACATACATATAAACATACACACATACACGCATAGTTACATACGTACATGATCATATCATACATACATGCATGCATATGTAACCGAATACGCGAGGCACGATCATCCATGGGATATACTGCCGAATACGCTGCGTAGGACGTAACGATCGCACGCAATACATTATGCGATATGAATTAACACAAATGACGTTATTGTAAATTGAAGTATATATACGTTCAATCAAATAAAAGGATATTATATTAGAAATTTGACGGTTTCCCGATAACGACTACAGCGCAATGTAAACGCGAAGCAAATGTGATGCTACTGCGTATGAATCATTGGCCCTGGCCGTGCATGATTAAAAGAGACTCCCCACTGTCTCCCCCGTCAATACCATGTCCTCATTATCATTTTCATCATTGTGTTGTTTGTGTTCGTCGTCGTTGTCATTTTTATTACCTCTGTCATTATTGTTACTAATTGTAAGTATTATTATTATGTCTTTCCTTGGAAGAGCCGTAAATAATTCTTACGAATTTATTATTCTAAAGGGAAAAATTAGATCTTGACGAGACATTGGTTTTCAATTATGTAATTTCTATTTATAAACGCATAATAGCATACAAGCCACCAAATAAACCGGTTTTAAATCTACCGGTTTTAAATCTACCGGTTTCATCTCTATCTGCAGATTGATAGCTTATTTGGATAAAATATTAACATTTTTCGAAACGATGTTAATTTTCATATATTGATCTCACTTCGATGAGAGTGATATGGAATTGTCACAAGTATATTTTAAATTTTAAATATGATTAAGCACAAATTTTACTGTTACATTTATATTCGTTTTATAATTTATTATTACCTTTAATATCACAATAAGATATTTATACTCTTAAAAGAATAAGATCTAAAGTAATAGTCAAATTGCATAATATGAATATTGAATTTCATGATTTGTTTAAATATGCAAACGATATAATAAAATATGCGTCACATTTAAAAAAAAAGATATTTCTTGAAATATTGAATATAATATTATCATCCAATAATCTTGTCTTTATAAATAAAACAATATAAAAAGTTTTTCTATGATTGGAGGAACGAACAACCACTTTTAACGTTGCATGTTAAACGCTAGACCAATCAGGTATTGCAAAGCAGTTTCTGACGTAGCGGACAAAAAAGGTATCATCCAATGAGATAAAAGCGATAAATATCAGCCGTTTGAAATTTTTGGACAGAGGAACGTTCGAAGCGCCACGCGACATGATATTGGCGAGCGGAATAAGCTAAAGTCATAAAGACGCGTGTGTTGGTTGTGTCGGTGGTGTTAAACCATGATCAGAGGGGAATGAGTGCGAGGAGAGAGAGAACGGATCGATTTTGTGTTATTAGTCAACGAACGCTATCGTGCAGTGGAAACGAGGGCTCCAGTTATGCGACGTTTCCTGGATCTATAATAAAAAAGATCTGCATGTAAAAAGGGTGTATCTGGGGATCGCGATTCCACGTTGAGAATTCGCGTTCTTCGGTGCTCGGATTTGGGGAAAAAAAAAATTTTGTGTGTATAATAAGTCCTCCTATCAAGAGAGTTGGTGGGGATTGACTCGTGTGGACGACTCTCTGTGGTGTGGGGAAACTGGAAAGGAAAGGAAAGCAAAGCAAAGCGGAAATATAAGAAGAAAAAGAAGAAGAAGAAGAAGAAGAAGAAGAAGCAGCAAGCGATAAAGTAAAGAGAAGTTAAGACAGCGGAAGAACGGAAGGATTGGCCAGTTTAACGACGGTGGACTCTATTGGTTTGGGCGGAGGATAAGCGAGGAAGGGAAAAGGAAAGTTAAGTAAAGAAGGGCTTGGCTACCGTTAGTAGTTCATCGCTTTTGAGGAGTATCGCCCCAACGGGGAAGCTATCCGCCGAACGGAAGGACTGTTCATTCGTTTTTTCACTCTCTCTTTCTCTCTCTCTCTCTCTCCCCCCTCTCTCCTATCTTTCTCTCTCTCTCTCTCTCTCTCTCTCTCCCCCTCTCCCTCTCTCCTTCGCCCCTCCTAAGAAGGCGGTTTTACAGCTACGGCACGTTAAAGGAGCTCCTGCTGAAGTACCGGCAGTATCGGATAATAATTATCACCTACGACTTTGTACAGTTTTGTGTGTTTGTCTAATAGGTAAGTAAACGTATTTACATATATCTAGTATGTATGTAGATTTTTATTTCATTTTTTTTTAATTACGTACATCACGTAATTGTGTGACATACAACACAAATTGAGAAATAGTAGAGAACGAAAAGGAATCGTCGGCTTCCGTGTATTGACGACGAATGCTTTACGAGAAATTACGTAGTGTGACGAACGAGGGGTGTGTCATGTCAAATCCGGTTCAGCAGCACCGATCAACATCATCAGAGCGGTTCGTACCACCTCCATCTCTCTACCTCCTCTTTCACCTCCACCCACCACCCTCCACCCTCCACCCTCCACCTTTACTATACCGTATTACTATAGCTCTTGTTCGCTCGCGTTTAATACCGCAATTTGTTTCTTTTACTATTCCGATATCATATTTCTATGCTCGTTTGTCCAATGATCGACCAATGTGCCTTGGCTAAATAAATCTGTTGGAGGTATACTATTAAAAAATAGATCTTCAAATTGAAGAAATAGAAATGGGAGTAGAACTAGGAGTAGAACTAGGAGTGGAACTAGGAGTAGAACTAGGAGTAGAACTAGGAGTAGAACTATAGTAGTAGAACTAGAAGCAGAAGTAGAAGTAGAAACGGATCTTGGTATTAACAACGGTACGATTGTCTCTATTCCTATTGATGGTTGAAAGTGATACTCTATTCGGAATATTTTGTCGTAATCTTTTCCTTTTCCACACACACTTTATTCGTTTTCCTGCCATTACGAAGAAAGCGTATTGAGTTCGAAGCGTCTCATAACCCCCTCTTAGTCCTTCCTCCAACTCTCCACCATCTACCATACGCACACTCTGTTAAGTAGTTCCTATCCCGTTCAATCTTCTCCAGCATCCGTAATAAACTCGCTGATGTTTCGATAATTAAGTCTTTTGTCTTACATATTTTTTCAATAATTTCAATTTTTAATTGATATATGCTTAGATTTTAATTATCGTTCCTTTCCTACAACAATTTAAGACAATATAAAAAAGATAATTAGTAGATAGTTATCGCAATGTGTCTTTTTATTTTATTTCCTAATACGTTCATTCAAATATAATGAATTTTAGATGGTCGTATCTCATTGATTAGTATTTCATTACTATAATTATATTTATTACTATTAAGGTGTTTTTTAAATATAATTTAATCTATAAATTTAGACTTCAATGTGAAATATTCATTGAAACATTTCAAATTGAATATAACATCGTAATAAATATTAAGTTAGCTATCTTGATCATATCGAGTATCGATAGACGACGATAAGATCAAATTGCAAATTGTATCTTCTGGCAGATTCGATCCTATTAATTATCTTTTATAATACGTTTATAAAATCTTATTTAGCGTTATAATGTAGAACGTTCAAACGATTTCTCTCATACTCAAATAATGATGATTATTGTTTTGAAAGTTTCTAGTATATTCCGGTCATTGTCCGATATCTGTCTGTTTGTCTCTCATTCTCTTTCTTGCTTTTTTTCTTTCTCTTGTGTAATCAAACGACTATCAGAGAAAGCAAAGAAACTTCTTTAATGTCACATGTGAAAGATCGTACTTCTAACTAATGTCGATTTAACGATACACGCAACACTGCATAGTAATAAATAAACATATCGTGTGTAACGATTAATATTATATATACAGTGAGTTACAGATGTATTCGTATTTATTCCCACCGTAAATTAGAAATAATTGATATTTATTTGTACTGCCAAGCTTCAAAATTCTTATTCACAGAAACCTATTTTAGGATTATTAAGCTTTTAAATTAATATCAATAATATTATAGAAGAACATTTTTTATTGTTTTTATTATTTGGTTGATCCTTCCTTACATTTTTGAGATGATTGGGCATATCTTATAAGACCAATTTTCTTTTCAGTTATATCAAATTTTATTTCGTTTATTAAATGCGAAAAATTATCGCGAAATCTTATTTTACAATAAAATTTATATCAATTAAATATTTGAGTAATTCTAAAATATGTTTCTTTGTATACGAATTTTAAAATATTTTATTTTACAAGAAAATATTGATTGTTTTAAATAAACAGTGCGGAGACGAATACTCCTGGGACTCACTTTGTGTATATGTTTAATATAAAATATTTTATATGTTATATTTGCATATTAAATTTATATACGTATATTTAACGATTTAATTTTGAACACATAAGAGAGTGGGTTGAAAAGTTTTGAACCTCAACAAAAAACTTCTATTCTTCTTAAATAAAAGGACAGACTTATACGACGAATATATTAAATATAGAATAGAACATACATATATTATATTATATTTTATATGTATTTATGTGTATGAGCGTGCGATAGCTAGTGTTGGTTCATTGCAATCATTGAGGCCACGTCATGCGTGTAAAGCCTCATATCCAATATGCAGGAACATGAGACATGTCGTCATCGTCTGTTTAGTGTGCGCGCGCACACACACGCACACATTTATATATTACTAAATTATATGTATACATACATACATATAGCTTCCATTATAATAGAAAAATAAAATATATTTTAGATTATTTATAAACTGAATTTGAATTAATAAATATACTATAAAGTGATTCTAAAGTGATTCAAAAGTGATTATTTTGTGTGTACTATACTATACTATACTATACTATACTATACTATACTAATATTATATATTTAGTATTTTGTGCAGGAAGGACAATAGATAGATCTTCGAACGCGTTCATGTTTCTCTGTGTCAGGAGAATGACCACCCATTGGGTGCAAGTAGTAGAAAAGGAAACGTCTGTATTGAATATTATGTGCTTTAAGAGTAGCTTAGGAGCCTAAACGTAGGTGTTTTAATTTAGACCACTTACTTTTTCATATTACCATAAAAAATGATTTCATAAATCGTTTATCCTCGTATTACTCTTTCTTTTATTGCCACGATTTGAATGAGATTTTCAAGGACGAAAAGAATTTTTGAATTTAAATGGAATTCGATTGTAACTTATACTTTTTCTATAATATGTACATGTCGTCTATGTTCAGTCAAAAATCATTAATTAACATTTATGCTAATCTGAGTTATTGCTCGTCGAATACAATTTTTAATGAGATAAATCAGGTTTGGGAAAAGTATGCTTTTTGTTATTACATTACTATTGATGCTTTTTATGGAATAATGGTTAGTAAATTGAAAAATGTAATATGTAATAAATCAAAAAAGATGAAAAAAAATGCTATTAGTGACTTTTGGCTGAATCTAAACGAAATTGATTGAAAATCGTAAAATTGATATTCGAAATTGATATCAATTTAAAAGTTGAATGATCCTAAAATAAGTATGTTCCTCCTATTTATTACAATGAATTTGGAAAAATTGTATATTTCAACATTGAAGTCTAACGAAGCGTCCTACCAACGATCGTCATTGGAACTTTGGGTGTGTCATGTTCGCACCACTATGTACGCTTGTTGGACATTCGTCTTTTTTAATTAAATGATTCTTCATGGCTGTATTTACTGCGCTCATGAACATGGTAATTATACTCGAATGTTAGGAAAAAATAAAGGAAAACAAGTGAAAAGGACAATGCACTGCGCGCAACTTATCTATAATAATACATATAATAGATATATGTTATGTAATTTTTAATTATGACGTGACCCGGTTATCTACCTTCATCGTTATTACGATAGGTCAAAGTCATTTACCTGAGTTACGTTACAACGTCGTGAGCTGTAGAAAAATTGTAGAAACAATCACCGTTAGGATTTCTATTACTGAAATAATCAACATAAGTATTTAAAGTCGAATGAGATCTCATATCATCGGTTCTCATTACGCCTGTTACAACCGGAAATGACGCATCCCTGTAATTAGGCACGGTATATGTATAATAACTATCGTCGTACTACGTTCTTGCAAGGGAAACGAAAAAAGGGCTTCCAACGTTCCTAATGAATTGAGTCAAGTTATACACAAAGTTATCAATCGATCATCTTCAAATTTAATAAATTTAGTTTTAGTTGAAGCTTTTCATTTTTTATTTCAAGATGTGAAGTTACAGTTTTATGATGCCGCCACTTGAAATGTCCACAAAAAAAGATGTACAATTTTACAGTTGGGTAAAGCGACTTTTGGTTAAATATAGTTGTTAGCTAAAAATGGGTCTTTATGTGTTTTTAATTATATTTATTTGTTTATTTTACTTTTTATGTGCCAATTTTTAATCTTGAACCTGTTTTAATTCTAAAAAATATATCTCAGGTCTAAATTTACAAATTGAGAGGGAATGTGTTATAAACAAATGAAATTTATGCCAATACTTGTGTTGTACATTGTATGAATGAAATTCGTATACGTATATTTCAAAGGTAAATGAATTATTTCAAATTCAATGAATTTCGTTTTTGTAACATTTTGTTTTTTATTCTTATCTTGTATTTTTTTTTTTTTTTTTTTTTTTTTTTTTTTTTTTTTTTTTTTTTTTTTTTCTTCTTATTTTTCTTGAGTAAACACGTCGAGTAAAGAATAAAACTTTTAGTCATAAGAGTGATCTACGAGTTACAAATTATTTATAGTTCGGTGAATAGTAGAACATGGTCTAATTCCGGTAGTCGTAACGCAATAGTCTCTTCAATATAACCAATAGCAGTTCTTTTTATATGTTTGTGTTTTTCTTCAATGAACAATTTTCTTTTTAGGAAAGATATTTCTAAATGATTTTTCTGTTTTATTTGCAAATGAGATTACATACCTGAAAATTCAGTTTGATGTGCACAAATTTCTAATAAAAAAGAAATTTGCATATTTTTTTTTGTTTTTATACTGAAATTCTATACTTATAGTATTATAATGTTGTGGTACAATAAGTATATAAGTTATACTTCAAAATCATTAATGCTTAAACTTACTAAAACCGGTCCAATGTTATTCTTTTAATATTGAATCCAGAATTTGGATTCAATATTACTGCTTTTTATTCATTTTATATTACGAGAAAATAATAGTTAAAAAATATTATTATATCTATTATTTAAATCACACAGTCGACCAAATTGAATAATATTCGAATTCAATTGTCAAAAATATAATTTTTGTTGAAAATCTGCTCAATTATATAAACTGTTGGTAGGTCCAGTATTAAATACACCAGATATAAAGCAACAATTAAATTAATGCTGATGAAATGAAATAAAAGGATACATATATGTATAATATTATATAAATGCATCACTAGAAAATTACATAGTGTTATATATAATTAAAAGATTCTCTAAATATTTCTACGTTATTTTTTTTTCTTTCTTCTTTTTATTATATTATTTTTAACTTTTACCAAGTCGTAGGCATAGAGTAGGAAAAATAAAATATGGTTGATATGTGTCAGCAGGAATTTTCAGAATCTCATACAAATGTATATAAAGTAACAATTAGGTTTATGGTGATAAAATGAAATAAAAATTAAAAGATACGGATATAATAAAAGTATTTGTATATATCACTCTTTCTTATTTATTTATTTTTCCCAGGTCGTAGCGTCGAATACGTAAAATAAAAAATGGCGGATACAAGTCAGCAGGAACTTTCGGAACCTCATACTAATGGGGCAATGGACGGACTTACGGAGGAAGAAAAAAGCAAAATAAGGCCTGCAGATATTGATGCTGTAAGTAATGCTTTATATAGAGTGGCTATATTTAATATTAAATACCTAATTCTATTGGGTTGACCGAAAAGTTCCTAATACTTATACATTAGTTTACTCAGAAAAAAGATTTATGTACATTCCAAATAACTGTTTTAATATGATTGTTTTCTTGTTGAAATGTTTCAACGATCTTTTACCAAAATTTTCTCATTGATAATCCTCGTGTTTAATCTTTTTTTAATTTGTAGGACATGAGGGAAATGGAAAGAAGAAAGAGAGTCGAAATGATGATGAATTCACGATTATTCAGGGAAGAATTGGAACGTATAATTGAAACCCAAATGAAAGATGGCGCTGGACCCTCAGGTCTTTTACAACAGATCTCTGATATGATGGGTGCACAAGGAGCACGTTTCAATGGAAATGTATTTAAAAGTAAGTACTTAAGCGAACAAATGGTATATATTGATATTCTATTTGATATGAATTAACTAAATATTCTTATTGATCAGATCAAAAAGTAACAGTTTTATAAATTAATCTTGTATTGTTATTATTATTACAATTGAAAATAACAAGTCGATTTATTGGCTCTAAGGTACACACTAAAAGGATTTAATTAAATTCTTATTTATAAATTTTAGATTCTAATTGTGTGGTGCCTATTAATGATATTCGCGGAGTCGAGAGTATGGGCTACGCGAAAGGTGAAAAGTTATTGCGTTGTAAACTTGCTGCGGTATTCAGATTACTCGATTTATATGGATGGACACAAAATGTAGGCGGCCAAATGACGGCCCGCTTAAATCAGGATCAAGAACACTTTTTGGTTAATCCTTTTGGATTACTCTATCACGAAATAACGGCTTCTAGTTTGATTAAGGTCGACATGCAAGGTTCTGTCGTTGAGCAAGGAACAACAAATTTTGGTATACACCTTACGGGATTTCAATTACATTCAACGATACATGCTGCTCGACCTGACATTAAATGTATCATTCATATTTCTACTCCGTCCGTAACTGCTGTAAGTTATTCATTGATCATTCAACAATTATTCCACATTTAAATCATATGTTTAAATTTTCGATACTTAAAGACTGCAACTATTTTTCTACCGACCTAATATTATTTTTAATTATCCTTTTCAATTTTAATTTTTATAACATTTTATTGTTTTCTTTCTTCACAGATTTCTTCCCTAAAATGTGGTTTACTGCCAATTGGACAGGAAAGTATAGTTATCGGTGAAGTAAGTACGCATCATTATGTTGGTGGAATGCTTGACCCAGAAGAAAGAGAGAAAATTAGTAGAAATTTTGGTCCTATAAACAAAGTAATGTTATTAACTAATCGTGGTGCGCTCTGTTGTGGTGAAACAGTCGAAGAAGCGTTTTACAATGTATACAATACTGTATTGGCCTGTGAAACGCAATTAAAATTAATGCCAGCTGGTCTAGACAATTTAAATCTCATTTCGGAAGAATCGAAGAAAACGATTTTTGAAGCATCAAGAAAGCCTCCAATTCCTCAACAACATATTGCAGCACCAGAGTCAACAGTAATTACAGACAAATTAGAAAAACGTTGGAGAATAGGTGGAACTGAATTTGAAGCGCTTATGAGGATGCTTGATAACGCCGTAAGTCTTTTATAATTATATTTATATTTTATCATTTTTTATGCCTTTTCATTCATATAAAAAATTATTATTACGTATGTTTCTTTCTTTTTCTTTATAGGGTTTTCGCACAGGTTATATATATAGAAATCCACTTGTAAAAGGAGAGCCTCCAAAACCACGAAACGATGTAGAGGTACCACCAGCAGTTTCATCTTTGGGATATCTGCTCGAAGAAGAAGAATTGTATAAGCAGGGGTAAGTAATTCGTTTTTTATTTACTTATTACAACTAGAATGATTAAAAGACTTACAAAAAAGTACAGCGGTAAAATACATTATGTCACGTTTTGCACATTTTTCAGAAAAAAAGTTTTTAAATTGCTGTATACATTTTCTTTTAACAAATTATGTGTTAATAGATTTATGAATGTTCTCTCCGGAGTTAAGAAAAATATTTTTAAGAGTAACTTCTTTTGATATAAAAATTTAAATGGTATGGCAAATTTATTGTACAAACATTTGCTTGTTAATTATTTTAACATTTTTATGAATGTGAAATATGTAAACGACATGAATGCGCACGAAACATTATTGTCATACATATACTAATATGTTATATTCTAATGTTTATAACTACAGACCGAACACATTATTTCCCAAAATGATTAAATTAGGAGAAAAGACTTCTTTTAAAATATTAGATGGCAGTTAAAAGGAAAAATCATATAATTTTAATTGAACATGTTTTACCCCTGGACACTTTTTTTATATTAAAACTAATTTCTTATAATTATAATTATCATTCCTATTTATTGTATAGGCTTTGGAAAGGTGGTCGTAAAGGTACCGATAGGTCACGCTGGTTAAATTCACCGAATGTGTATCAAAAGGTGGAGATATTGGAAACTGGTACTCCTGATCCGAAGAAAATTACAAAGGTAGAAGTTATTACTTTTGAAAATAAAAACGAGTAATCATTGATAAACCGAATGAATAACATTTGAATGCCATACGCGTATATATTAAATATATATAAATTAAACATTCTTTATAAATGCAGCTAAAATCATTATTTCGACAGTTAAATAAAAATTTGTTTTCATAGATCTTTGTAAAGATCATATGTGTTATAAAATGTATCCGCGAGTTATAAAAATACATTGCGGAAGGTACATAAGGAATATAATACTCGCCAAATATTCCTATATAGTTATAGAATAATACTTCACATCAACGGTACTCCTATGTTTTTTCATATATGAAGTTAAATGAAATTTGTACGATTTGTATCTATAACATATCATGCAAATTTATTGCTTTAAAATGATATTAATCATCAAAACTAATGTGTATTTGGAGTAAAAACTACACGCATTGCATTTAATGAAGGAGAATTATATTACTAAATTGATTCTTCTTTATTTTTATGTATTTTTATGCATTCCATTCATGCATCATTCCATTAACAATGATGCGTTTAATGTTTCTATATAGCTTTTAATATTATATTGCCCATTTTATATATCACGTAGTCTTTATGCTTAATATATTGTTATAAAAGCAAATGTGAAAGTAATATTAAATAGTTGATGAATTAATATATACAACAAATATCGTATCTTATATTAAATATGTGTTAATGGATGGTATCTTGTGAAATTTTATATTGTTATACATGGGAGATCTAATAAAAAAGGATCAATCCTTTATATATATATATACGTATGTATGTATGTATGTATGTATGTATGTATGTATGTATATCTATCTATAACAAATATACACTTACATATATTTATAATTAAAGTATTATATACTTCACAATTATCCAGTATTTACTGGTAATAATATATATATATATATATATATATATATATATAGGATTGTGCGTCATTTTGTCTTCTGTAGCATATATATTCATGAATCGAATAAAGTTTAATCCGTTGTCTAATATGTCTTAACAATGTTTTAACTATTCAAAACATATATAAATCAGCAATAACCAAAGAATGGTGCGTGCGCACGGGTGTGATGTATAATTACAGATATATTCATCAAAATTTATTAAATTAGACGGGTAGTCATTCTTGATGTCATTTGCACGTTATTAGTTATGCATTTATTTTGTTTTTTTGATACATCATGTATGCTCTATAGAAAGTAATAGAATTCGTCGGATTGAAACCTGTATGAATGTGTGCCTGCTGGTCGGTCGTGTCTTCGAATTTTCCATGACCTCGGTAAACATCCACTGCATTTACAAAACCAGGTGAAATGACCCTTTAAGCATTTGACACAGTTAGAATTTTTTTTAGCGATATTTTTAGTTTAACAAGTTATACTAAACAAAATTAAATATTATATTAAACAGATTTTTATGTATATGTATATATAAATTTCTTATTTAAAAGTATTTAAAATCAGCGCCCACATAGAAAAAAATATTATATTACAGTTTAAAGAAAAATATGCAACGCAGGCACACATTACATGCAGTACTTAAATTTTCACTGCGCAAACCGTATGTATCATTTATTGGGGGTGGGGGGGGGTAAAAAAATGATAATATTGATAAAATATATTAAAGGGGGTCAACTCTAATGCTCTGGTTTTGTGTGCAGTGGGTGTCTGATGGATCTCCGACCCATAGCAGTACTCCGGTGAAGATTGATGGTGCTCTCCAGTTTGTACCTAAAAACACTAATCCGAAAGAATTCAAACAAATTCAACAGCAGGTAAGTAAATTTATGTTTTATACAATTGAACAAAATAATTCTAATGATAGTGGTAGAAAGCTTATTACCAAAAATACTCAATATATGTTCATAATTTAAAATTTTAACTTTACTGAATTATTCAGAAGAGAGAGAGAGAGAGAGAGAGAGATAGATAGATAGATAGATAGATAGATATTAATATAATAAAAGCACGCATTTATTTTTACTTCATTAGATAAAAGACTATCGTAGAGCAGATAAAATATCAGCTGGGCCACAATCGCACATATTGGAAGGTGTAACGTGGGAAGAAGCGAAAAAAATGCAGGTATGAATTTTAGGATTTATGTATTATATGAATATATTATTAAAATATAAGCCAGGAAAAAGGACTAATTCCACTTTTTAAATATTTACAAATTTTTATGACATATTAAACTTTTGATTGATGTTTAATTTTATATTTTTTAAATATCTTTAATTATTTTCAAGGACGCTACGATCAGTGGCACTGGAGAGCAAGTTGTACTTGTAGGAGCAGCTAGTAAGGGTATCATACAAAGAGGGTTTCAACATAATGCAATGGTTTACAAGACACCTTATGCCAAAAATCCATTTGATGCCATTACGGATCAGGAATTAGATCAGTATAAGAAGGAGGTAGAGCGCAAGCAAAAGGGCGATCCTTGTAAGCGTTGAATATTTATCATAATAATGCTTTTGTTTTTACAAAATATAAATTTTTATTTTATTTCAAAGAAAAAGAGAGAAATATTGGTTTAATGAATCTTTTATAATTAGATGACGAATCACAATCGGAATCTGAGGCATTGTCGTCATTTAACATCAGTCGTGCAACACACGAATCTAGCACTGCCAAAAGTCCGATTCAGTCACCAGTCTCTGTTACGTCCGAGACTGAGGAAGAGAGCAGAGATGGTAAGAGAAATTATTAAATACATAATGTTTCATTTAAACCTCCTACATACACATTTAAATGGGTCACAATAAGGAAATTATAAAAGATCAGAAAAGGAAATTACATAAAGTGTAAAAACATCTTTAAAAAATCTATTAAGTACCCATTAGTAAAATTCTACATATGAATTATTTATGATTTTCTATTTTTTAATATATTCAACTCAATGTATTCATTGTCATGATTGGAGTTCACATTGGAATTTGAATGTTGTATCTATTTGATGGATATGACATATTGATGATGAGAAAATATATTTTATTTTATGGTCACCCTATATTTACTCAAATCATTCTGCTGGATTCTGCTAAAAGATCACGTATTTGCGACTACAATGAGTGACATTTTTATATTGCAAACTCACATCAGTAGTAATAAAAACCTGAAAATTTTCTTGATCTATACTTACCCTATACTTTACTTTTAAAAAATTGTTATTTAATAATTGAAAATTGAAGAAAAAGAAAAAAATAGAAATTCATTAACATCCTTTAATTTTTTATCGACAGAACCTCGAGTTTTACGGATAGAAACGAAACAAGTGCCTGTGCCCAGTCAACCAGAAGTCGTTTTAAGTGACGGTGAGTACATTTTAAATGTTACTGTTAAATTTACAATGACTTAATCATTGTATGTCGTACAAAGAAAGGTTTGTTTAGAAGATATAATATGAAATGCAAAGTAGTATAGTGGTCTTTTGAGTTTTTGGAATTTTGGCATGTTCATATGATATTGTATACATATTTTGTACAATTACATTTGAATTATTGTAGTACTCCCTGTTAAATAAGTAATTTTCGTATGATACCAAAAATATTCTCTCTCGCATGAGTATTTTTTCCCAATTTGACATATGCATGTAATCGTTTATTCTTAATACAGCGTATGCAACTACGGAGTTCCTCAATGAAATGAGACGTGCTGCGATTGAAGCAGAAAGTGATATTAGCAGGCAAGGTAAGCAGTTCCTTAGTTAAGGGAGGAGAGGTTGAAGGTGAAAGAAGTGTGTTGTATCAGATAACGCATGATCGCATCTTTGTGCTTAACGTTACACACACACGTATACACATCAGAATAAACTATACATAATTTTTCCCTTCCCATTAAATTTATTTCATTTCTAACAAGGGTAAAAGGAATCTTTATGATCGCTAACGCTTACACCATACATGCTGATATTTGTCAAACGAATTTTAATTATATCCTTAAGCATATTTGTCTTTCTAACAGTTTATAAGTATGCAAATCTGCATACTTTGGTCAATCCGAACGTTGATCATTTTTTGTTGTATATATCTTTATTTTAATAATAATTTAATAATTAGGTTTACGTGTACATAATATGTATTTATATTTTATAAGTATCTCATCCTGTTGTCGTGTTTTTTCCTGTTTTTTATTTGTTATATGTTACTGTAGTTAAGGGAAAGAATAAGGGAAAAAGTATTAGGGATATAATAATACAGAGGTTGATAAAATCCATTTGCAAGAGATTAAAATGTTATTGTCTATCTTAAATTGGGACTATATAGAAGTAAATACAGTAGGAAATATAATAGTAGGAAGGTGTGAGCGATCCGTGATCATAACGAGGTCAATCATGCTACTCTTAAATCGAATAGATTGACGTGAAAGAAAAGAATGTGTTAGAAACTGAGGTTCGCTTGTCTTTGGACAATCTAATTTTACAGATTGTGCTCTATCAAGAGGTTGCAGCAGCGTAAGCAGTGGTAGTATTCGCTCAGGCGGGCGATCTCCCGAGCTCCATGATAATCTGCACTTAAAGGTCGTTCGCAGTTTTGTCATCGCAGAACGTATGAAACCTACCTTGATTGAATGTTCGTGGAACACCATGCGGAGACCCATTAAGAAAACAAATGATGACAAGAACTATGATAAAAAAGTCACAGATAATCATTACAACAGAGAAACACGATTTTGGAAAAATTACAAGACTCGAATAGAAGTAAGACGGGAATTTTTCGAAAATTATGAGAAAAGAATATTGAATGGCAATTATGGGGTTCAAGAAAAAGATTCTTTTAAACTTTTTCAAACAAAATGTTCTAATAACATTATTAATAATCACAACGAAGATGAGAAAAATTGTAATGAAAATCAACTTGTACTTTATCTAAATCATAATGACAAAATAGAAAACAATGCTGCTGCGATAGAGAAAAATGTCAATGAAACTTTATTGAATTCTATAATGGAGAAAATATGTGACTCTTCTAGGTATCAAGTTGCTAATGATCAACAAGACAAGTCTTGTAGGGAGAATGACAATGAAAAAGAAATGGATGAAAATTCCTCTTGTGAAAGTAAATTTTTCTGGGAAGATGATGATTGCCATTGTTTATCCAAACTGGTCTCCAAAGAGAACAATAAAGAGGAATTGTACAATTGTAATCGTCGAGATAGTTTAGGAGATGTTATTAATTGTATCAATGATAAAATTTTACCATCTTGTGCGAATTTGAATGCTTTGCCGGTAACAGAGGCATCGGATAAATATAATTTAGATTCCACGAACATGAATTTGATTTATAGTTTGACACCGTCGAGCGAAATGTTAACGGTTTGTTTTGAAAATAACAATGTCGATAATATAAACAAGTCATTTTATGTAGAGCATCAATCGAACGATCAATGGAAGAAAGAAGTTGATAAAGCAAAAAGTTGTAGTTCTCACAATTCATCCATAGAAAATATTTTTCAGGATGACTCAACTGATCGTAATTCCATTGTTGACTCTAACGATAAATGCTCTAATAATGGATCAGACATACTAGAATTGCCAACTGGTACGATCCGCGAGTTGGAAGATTTTCTTGGGGAATCATTTAGTGAGGACATGAATAGTAGCGTTAATCAAATATTAGCTGATCTTGATATTAATCAAGTTTACGTTGAGGCAACAAATATTGTTGATCAGGTTATCGAGGATGTTTCTTGTTTAACTTTAAATCTAAGCGTACCTTCGAAGAATGCGGTTTCTGCGAACAATGTTAATTTGATTGTCGTTAATGAGCTTGTTCATCACGTGTTAGAAATGCATGATATGGAAGACACTATTACTGTTCCCACTCCGAAGATCGATAACGATAAAAAATGTATCAAGGAATCCTCCGTTATTTTTCAGGATTTACATAACAACTGTAGATCTGTTGTTACCGATATTTCTGAAATTACTAAAAATAGCAATGTAAATGAATGTTCGATGATAAAATCAATAGATCAAACAACTTCTTCCGGGATTCTTGATAAAACGTTAACATGTACATGTCTTGAATGTCACTTTCCAGAAACTTTAACCGAAAACAATCAAAATAAATCTTGTAATAAAGATGCAAATGATAATATAATTGGTAAAAGTGAAAATATTGACATTGACGTAGATGAAAATCTTAACGTTCGAGTAATTACGGAAAATGATTCACAGAATAAACGTCCGTTTTCCGATGAAATTATCCTTGAATTTTGTTCTGTAACTAATAATCGATCGAGTAAAAATGATGTGATCGAGTTAAATTTTCAAATAGAAAAGTCTCATTGTGACGTTAGCGAATATTTATGTAATGAAACGTCGAAAGATTCGCGTAAACGTAAACATTGTGAGCTTGAATATCCCGATAGGGAAACGAACGGAAATATTGTTGAGTATCAAATGAATTTGGAATTGTCGAATAATTTTCAGAAAAACTTGAAATACCTTGCGGAAATTTATGGGGAGAAGAGTATGAAGCAATATCGTTTGAGTAACGGATGGATGCCAATTATTGATAATAAATCAATGATATCATCATCTAATGGAAACGTAGACTCAAACGATCTTTGTTTTGATCATCAGTATCAAGATTTATCACCCATAACGGAAGAGACTACAAGTGAATCATTGAATGAAGAAACTAACGTACTCATCGATACTTGTCCCGAGTATTTCAATGATTGTTCATTAAAAAGATGGGATGGCAGTGAGAAAATAATAATCTCTTCTATGGAAAATGAAAATATGAATGTAAGTGGGGAAGAATCGAATAAATCAATAGATTATTATACTTGCAAGGACGAAAGTAGCGACTACAATACATCAGTCGACAGACCGTCTTCATGTTCAGATCATAATTTTCAAGACTCGATTGATCAAGTTTCCATTTCTTCAGATGCAACCTACGTCATTTGTAAAGATTTTGAGTCACCTTCCAAGTCACCTTCCAAGTCACCTTTCAAGTCACTTTTCGATTCCAATAATCATAGTATTATTTCTATAAAGGATAAGGAAAGTGTAGAACAAAATGATAATGAAATTACGGAAAATGTTGAATTGGTGATCTCAAAGTCTCCTGTTTTAGCTAATAACGGTGTTGAACAACACGCGAATCTTGATTTGACTGGATCTCACATGCTTCCACGATATGAGGATTCTTCCTTGTGTAGATTGGTATCGGGAATGAAACTTAATATCAATTCTCTCATTGAATCCATTCAAGACAATCGTTCACTCTCTTCGGAACACTACTGAGATTTGTCTTACAACTTTTATATTTTAATATTATTATTTTTCTTTTCCGTGTTGCATGACCACAACCATTTTGTATATTTCACGTAAATTTTATCATTTAATATTTTCTTTTATCTTCAAAGATAAATTAAAAATAAGAAAGAAAGAAAAAAAAAATACAAGAGATTAGATACTTTGGTACATGGAATGTGATAAGGACTTATAACCAAAGAAAGGAATTCATTTATTTAGTTACGTTATCTATTTTTGATAGTTCAGTATTAATGACTATGTAACAGAGTTTATTTTTGTTTTCGATATTTTTCTTTTTACTTGCACAAATGCACGTGCCTACGATTTCCATGTTTGTTGTTTTGTTTTCAAATTCAGGGATCGCAGGTCAGATCTCATTAATGTATATAGATACATTTAATTTGCTCAATGACGCGCGCATGCGTCATTGTTTTTATGATAAGAAATAAACATTTGCACTTTTTTAAATAGTCTAACTTCTTCCGTAAAACTATAATTAAGCGAGAAAATATCCCACGAACGAGACCACCGAAGTTTTATTGAAATTGAAATTGAAATGCTGCACTCTGTGTTCTTTTTGTCCCTGTAACATCATTATATTATAGCGTTACTAACAGACGATAATGAATTTATTTGATTTATTTCATTATTATATACCGCTTGTAAAAATGTTTCTCGTTAAAATTCCCAACGCTTCGATCGAAACGCGTGTCACCACCTGTCCTTTGCACGATCCTTAGTGAATCTACTTAAAGAGAGGGAAGGGAACACAATGCACGGTAACGAGCTATAATGAACACAATCATCTAAAAACATCAATCGCAATAACGCTATGCTACATTTGTGAGGTAAGTTGCGATTATTACGACGGTACGCTTGTTTCAATATGGCTAACGTTTATTTTATTCTTTATTATGAATTTTAATCCTTGGAAGAATGTACATAATGTACGATTCATTTGAACTCATAACAGTATGAATTCTATTAAATACCTATTTTACAAACTTTAAATTGTAAAATAATTGATGCCATTATTAATGTACGATGTATAAGGCGTAGAAATGAATTCGATATTAAAATTTTTTTTTTTTTTTTTTTTTTTTTTTAGATTTCTACACTAATAAGAGAAGAACACAATTGTTTAACCCTTTCGCTACCTGCGGTGGAGAACCAAAGTTGCTTGAGTGTTTTCGAACGAACAAACTTTTCTACAAAGGGTATTTATAACGTCTTAGTATGCGTTCTTTATTTTACATTGGCATTGACATTAATACATTGCAATTACAGTGGCATCTTATGGAGGGCCACTATAGTGGACCGTAGTAGTGAAAGGGTTAAAATATATTCAAGGATTAATATTTCAATTGTGTGATAATAATAGCGAACGTTATTGATGTTGATCTCGACGCGAGCTGCTTAAACAAAATTATTTTTCTGTTACAGGAGAAAATACCGTAAATGGCGATCACTCGGACGCCCATCACAGTACATTTTCTCAAAGTAGCAAAGAGGTTCGTTGAAATAATAATTTGTCTTTTTTTCCAATCTATTTTCTTTCTTCGTTGTTTTCCTTTTTCTTTATTTTCCAAAATGTTCTTTCAAAAAAATGTTCCTTCTAAATGTCAAACTATATACGTGTCCATGTTTAACGTTTCAATCAATGGAGAAGCATTTGTGAGTGTGTGGGTTTCTCGATAATTTTTTTTTTATATATTTGCTTGTAATGCAAAACTTCCAAATAAGTTCTATTAAAAGTAACCGAAGCATAAATTAAGGATTATTAACATTACACTTATCACGACTGGTCAAATGACCCTTTTTAAACTTTCTGACAGAATTTTGTACAAGTTATAATGCTATTTTGTGAGTCTAGAACTTTCATTGCACAAATGGTATATTTTTTCTTATAAAATACACGACTTCGAGATTGAGTTACCGAAGAAGGCAAGGGTTATCTTACAATAGTAAGATTTTAAAAAAATTTCTTTTCACTTATCTCAAATTAAAACTAAAAAATATTACTTGTATCCTCTTTCACACATTTGAACCACTCGATTATTTTTGCAAGTAGTATTTGGTTTGTATTAATTAATAATTTTTAAATATGTTTCTGTATTGAATAATTTGGAAATATTGTATTATAAGAAAATATTGATTGTTTTAAATTAATAGTAGGGGGTATGAATACTTCTATGACTCGCGCTGTATATTTTAATTTCATGCCTAAAAATAGCTGTTGGCTCATATGTCATACATTTTGTAATTACGTTAAAAAAACCCAAAACGAAAAACAAAGAAAACAAATGGGACTAGATTGCAAAAGCTTGCAAGCAGCAGCGTATCGGCGTAAGAATAACACGCATCTGAAATTATGCTCGAAGACGCGCGCGATATAAATAAAGCCAGTATAAATTGGAAACTTAAGTTGTTTGTTTCTCTTGGGATTCTTGTATTTTTCTTTTTTTTAAATAACTCTTTTTCTTAAATACAAAGCTCGAAGCTTCGACGTAGCAATACACATTCATTATCGTTTCCTTTTTTTCTCCATTTTTTCTCCATTCTTTCTTTTGTTTTTTGTTTAAAATACAAATCGCCATTTCATTGCCTATTTCAATAGTGCTATTATGCATGACTCGAATGCAATCGAACGAGAAGGTTTAGGATCTTCAAGGACTCTTTTTACACTTATTTGAAATTTTCAAATGGCTCAATGTTTTATGATCTACAAAATATTGATCATATGGTTGGTTGTTTACTAGTTTACTAGTTCAATGCTGCATAGTTCTACATATCTATACGTGTAATTTAAGTTAAATAAGTATTATACACGGAACTATTGGTTTTTTTTAAATATATATTGTTATACAGAAAGGAAGAAATATCAAATATTTCGTTTTTCATTTGAAGATATAAATCTTTTGTTATAGTGTTGTTAAAAAAGTACAAATCAACGGGATACAGTTAGTCTTAATACTTGCTAATAAAAAATTCATAATATTCGTCTCATTTTTGAAAAATCTTTTTAAAATCAATTATATGTAATGCATTATAAACAATGAGCCCCATGAATGTTTGAACTTAATGTTTAGACTTTAAGATTAAATTGAATTCATTGAGTGATTCTAAACCCATCGACGACGTTGCATGTGCATGTGGAAAGGTTTATGGTTACGGTTGGGACCTTCCGTGTTAAGGGTTCCATGTCGCAGGACGTGAGTGTTAGCGAGGAATCGCCGAAGAAGGAGAAAAAGAAGAAGAAGGGCCTTAGGACGCCATCGTTTCTTAAGAAGAAAAAGGAAAAGAAGAAGTCGGTCGAGGCGTAGGTAGCCATAATAAAGGTTTGTATAAACACAGTATTTTCCCATTTTTAATAATCATTATTTTCACTTGTTTATATTCAGCAGTTCAATAATGAACTCATTATCGAATAATTATAATTCTATAATGACAAAAATAATAGTCCTGTTTAACAAAATTTACGTCCCGGTAGCAGCAACAGCAGCAGCAGTTGGAGTATTTTGAAAACTGTTCATAATTTCTTTCAATGCATAACACATTTCCAAATTTTTATACATACAGGGACATATATGTTAGGATTATTTTAATTACAAATTGATGTGAATTTTATTGCAAAAAGATAAGTGAAGTTTGACATAACTGATAAAAAAAGATTGTTCTAAAAACATACATTATGTTACCATTAAAGTGTATAATAATTGGACATTATATGAAATAACTAGATGTTTTAAGTATCAAATTGAAATTTAATCCGCCTTTTTTTAAAGTTTGCTTTTTGTACATATGAATACAATAATGTTTGTAGTTATCCGTTTTTATTTGTTCCTGTATTTTCAAAATCAATGTAATCAGATCAAATCTCAAGTTCATATATAAACTATTCGTCTCTCGCGTATTCATATTTTACCAAGTTAAAGAATTATTTCATACTTTACTTGGCCGATATATAGTTATTTCATAAATAAATGTATTTCACACTTTAATGGTAACATGTATAATAATAATAATAATAATAATAATAATAATAATAATAATAATAATAATAATAATAATAATAATAATAATAAAAATAATAATAATAATAGCAAATGGATATATGCTGAAACAGGTGAGATTTAGCGCGTGGGATTGCATCGCTCTTAGAATTAGTTTTCAGTTATTATCGCTAGTTGCATTTGCATATTAGACAAATACATTTTTCATCATCTCTTAATACGCCAGTAAAAAATGAGTCATTCGTTATTTTGGAAAATATGATAGTATATGTGTATTTAAACTCATTATCATATAGTTAATGTCGCGTAAAACTTGGACATTACTATTGACAAAAAAATACAAAAACAACAAGACTAAATGTGAGAAAACATAACGGTAACAAGAAATAATAACGGTTGTCGTATCAAAATTTCCGTTGAAAAATTGTTATGAATTTATTTATTATCTCGTTATCTATTATTCTCATTTCAATGACTTCCCCTTTCTTTCAGACACTGCCACGAAGAAAAACTTACCGTTAATACGAAGAAGCGAACACGAATTTTTTTCCGAGCGAAGCACGAATGCAAAATGTTGTAAGCCGTTAAAAGCATGGGAAATGAAGAGAGGTAGACGACCAATAATAAATATTATTCGGAGGCTGAGGGAGGGAGAGAGAGAGAGAGAGTATAATCAGTTGAAATGAAATAATAAGCAAAAAAATAAAAAAAAGGAAAAGAAATGAAATCAAAGCGGCCGAAACAATAAATCACAGCATCTTTCCAAGACATAAAACTGCCATCGCATTCTATCTATGATAAGGAATCTATAATAGTACCGTTGTGTGTGCGTGTGCGTGTGCGTATGCGTGTGAGCGCGTGCTTGACATTTTTACATTTTTAATATTTTAAGCATTCGCACACCCAAATCTAATTTCTATTAGCTAATACTTTATTCTATCTCTCCTCAATCCTGTTTTTTAATATTATATATATGTTCATAGATATATAATAGTGTTCTTCTTAAAAGGCCGTTTCGAAGGTTCATTCAAGTAAGAACTAGATTATTCTTACAAATATAAATAATAAAAAGCGAAAAAATAGAAAGAAAGACAGACAGAAAGAGAGAAAGAGAGAGGGAGAAAAGGAATAAAAATTAAATGAAATTTAATTTAATTAAAAATAAATTATAAAAAATACCTTTAACAAAAGGGATAAGAAAATTAGGCGAGTGTGCGGGTGGAGGTGGGTCTGCATAGAAAAAGAGGGAGGAAGATAGGGGAGAGGATTATAAGGGGATAATAATAAATAAAAGCCCGAAATTTCTTTTCTTCGTCGCGTAGAATAACATTCTATCTTTGTCAATTTGATTTCTTTTCTTTTTCTTTTTCGAGCTTGTGCCTTTAACCTGTTAACCGACGACGAAGACGATCATACACTCGTCAGAAATTTTTAACGATAGAAGACGTATTAATAATATTAAAATAATATTAATGATAATAATGAATAAATAAATAAAATAAAGTAAGTCGATGTATAATCAATGGTTTTTTCATTCCCATTAAAAATATCTTTTATGAATGTATCTTTTACATTATGTTTATGTTCTATTACATTTAGATAATTCTATTTAATAATAAACGCTAAATTTAAGCCTTATGATTGTGTCGTATGTAAATTTGAACTGAATACAAATTAGATAATAGCATATTCACATTCTTACTGACCGAAAAGAAATTTTTCCCCGATTAACAGGTTAAAGGAGTCGTGTCATCGTCATATATAATTGTTGCAACCATATAAGGCACATTTCGTCAATGGCGCGAAGGAAGTGTTTTTCTTTTTTTTCATATATACAGGAGGGTGAATAACAGAGTAATCTCTACCGATAGTGATTCGTGAACCAACCTGTATATATATATATATATATATATATATATATATTTTGTTATTGTTTGAATCTTTTTATCTTCTTTTCTTCTCTTATTATACGCCACAATACATTTCGCCAAAGACGGCCCTAGTCATATTCTTTAATCGTCTTTGTCGAAGACATCAAGGACAGCTTGAGCCGATCTTTGCGCTTTTTAATTCTCGGCCGAGCATCTCTTTTACATACATACATGCATACATGCATGCATACATTTATACATAGAGTGAGTCACAGAAATATTCATACTACTACTGTAACTTTAAAATAATTAATATTTGCTTTCTTTTTTATTAACAACCTCTAATCTTTACAATTTACCCGGTTGACTACCTAAATGCACAGTTGTCTTTAAGGTCTCGATATCAATTTGAAAGTTTAATTATCTTAAAACAAGTTTCGATGTATAGGAATTTTGAGAAATTACATTATAAGTAAATATCAATTATTTAAAATTGAGAGTGGTGGTGGTTATGAATACTACTGTGACTGACTGTACATACATACATACATACAAATATACGTATATATATGAAACGTTAAAGAGGGAAGTAAAAATGTTGCTTGTTAGACAAATCGATGGTATGTAATTAATCTCAAATCGTTTTTGACATCGATCGAAAGGAAAGATAACTAATTCGCAATAAATATTAATAAATCTATAAATAAACCGGCCGCGGTTATACCAATTATACACACTTCTAAATCAGGATTGTTACCTTTGTTATGATCGTTTTTATTTTTTTGAAAACAAACAAAAATGAAGAAAATCCATGATTTGTTTTGCTTTAAGCACGTTTGTTAGATCACCGACATTTGTGCAAGTAATTATGACAGTGGACTTAATTCCAAAAATTGGAAAAATAAATCTTATATGATTTATTTCATATTAAAATTATTTATATTAAAAAATAAATCATAAAATAAACAAATAAACATTTGTAGACTTACTAGGCCACCGTCAATTACCTGCACGTATGTGATATAAAATTAATTTGTTTTCATTGGTGCCTGTATAACACCATTTGAAAGATTTCATTATCTTTACCTTTCTCTTTTCTTTCTTCCATTTTCTTTCTGTCCCATTTTATACCGAAAACGTGTAACATTTTTTACAATCTAATGTTATTGGACATTGTTTACGCTTTCATTCGTTTTTCTTGGGGGGTTTTTTTTTTTTTTTATTTTAATTGTCACTCAATATGATAAAACAACGACAATGTAGAGTTGCGTAAGCGTGATTTTAAACAATGAGACGAACATGAAAAAAGTTAGGAAGAGAGGTGGTTTGTTCAGTGGCAGGGTCGGTCGCGCGTATTAATAAAAAGCATGTGCAAATATATAAAATAGCGTTCGTCGTATATTAGTTCGGTAAAAATAAAACAAAAATAAACGCGAATACTTTAAAACGACGAAGCTGAGCTATACAAGCTGTTATTAAGTTATTATGAGCTAGAATAATGTAATTTTAATTATTCGATGAGAATACGTAGTTATATTTAAGAGTTACTGTAAATTAATTCGATTTTATAAGACCAAAACTTCTGTATGCTATACATATATATATATATATATATATATATGTATTTTTACAAACTTATTTGCAAGTTGATTATATCATATGAAGAAAATAGACGGAGTCACTTAGCAACGAGAAAACAAAAGTTTTCTACTGCCAGACGTAGATTACATATTTTTTCGGGCCATGCGATTCTGTTGTCTTTTATTATTACTACTATTATTATAGCTTTATTATAATAAAAAAGTCAATAGTTCTATATTATCTGATTTGTAACGATCGGTCGTTGTTTCGCAGCGTTATTCTTTATTATTATTATTATTTTTTTAAAATATTATCATTATGTTGACACTATATATTAAAAAGGAATAATAATAATTTTCGCTTAATTTCTAAACTTATACATTATTTATCGTGCGTTTTTTCTTCGCCCTTTTTATAGGCTGTCGTATCTTGTATAAGTTTATAAATTTATAATCGACAAGGCTTATTATACATTATGAACATTGTGAAAGCTTAGTGCAGTATTATGATTATTTCCGAATTCTTTACACGATATATATATATTGCTATTTTGTAAATCTGTATTAGGACATGATTTCTTGAAATAAAAGTTCGAAAGTAAGGAGCTCGTCGAATTCCTGTCCTAATACGGAATCATTTTGAAGTCTCATCACGACGACACAGAATTCTTTGTATATGATATTTTACCTCAAACCGATTATTCAAAATAATGTATATTCAGTTTTAACGTATGAAAATTAAGCAAAGTTATGAAGATATATTTCGTTGAGATATATTAAAACACGCATCTAAGTATTCTTCATTAGGAGGGCATTAATGAATAAATTATTTACAATCAAGTAAGTTTATTAGGCTTGTGTAAGGGTGATCTGTATTGTTGCGTAGAGAGGAAGGTGGGCTGCTTATTGTTGAAGGTTTATGCAATTTTTCCTTACCCTTGCTCTTCCTACCAACTCACAAGTTAATAATATAAGTTTCCAGGGGCATGCCCTTTTGTTAATATTGTTCATAGGAGAATCATAATATGTCAATTTTAGATTTAAGGGTCATTCTGGTCAAGCGCCGCAAATATCAGAATATTTCTTCAAAGTTTGTCTTTCTTTTCCAATGATAACAACGAGTTATGCTTCCAGAATTTTTAACACATATAAATCTAATAAAAAAGAAATGGTTTTTTCTTTTTTTAAAAAAAAAATAGTTTCCTTCAAATGACATATTTGAAAAAGTCTTAGAGACTCGTGTAAAAGATTCTTTTACTTTTATTGATCCGAAATTAGAAAAATTCGAGTTAATTTTTACTTTGTATGATTGCCGCTATAGATTATACATGCATAGAAATATAACGTTAAAAATGAACAAAAATAATAAATAATGAATTTTAATAAGTACACTTTGCGATATAGGCTATAATTTTGTGCAATGGTTAGATAAAAATAAATAAAACACATTTGAGTCCACAAAAATATTTATTTCAACAAATTTAACTAATTATAGTAATTAGTAGGATTGCCAATATTTTCTTAAATCGTGGAATTAAACTTAATTAATTTCCTTCTTCACATTTATTTCTATGCGATACTTGGATTTTTTATAGCAACTGTCGAACATTTAACATCGCGCAAATGGAATTAAAATGTTGAAAATTGTGTAATATTTTGCGGCATACACTTTGAGAACCACCGATGTATAGGATAACGTTTTAAAAATTCACTCTAATCGATTATATAGTTTTCTTGTGTTTTTAAATAAACCTATTGAAAATATACAGTACTGTATTTAGCGCTATTTCAATTTACAAGCTATATAAAAGTCGAAATAATGGAAACTGTCCGTCAACAATTTTTGTATTTCATTTTTAGTAGTATATTCAATCGTAAACACACAAAGTAAACAAAAAATCCATTTTTCTTAAATTTTTGACCAGTATGACCTTTTAAACAAAACATTTAAAAACAAGAAAAAGCTCAATTACGATATAAATTAGTTTTCTAAGTATTCTGTTGTCTTTGTACTGTAAGTAATTTCAAAAAAAGAAAAAGGAAAAAAAGAGGGTACTTATTCAAAAAAATCTTTTAACGAAAAATTGCAAAGAGAAAAAAACAAACATAGGTTGTACGTAATGTTATTGTGTTCAATATATATATAAAAGAATAAGAGTCAAAAAGCAAAAAAGAACATAAAAGAAAAGGGAGAAGAAGAAATAAAAAGAAATATCAAAAATGAAATTGTAATAGGTAATCGACTCTG